CTCGATGTCAGGATGGCGGTCGGTTTCTAGCGGAGTGCCCCAAGGTTCGGTTCTAGGACCGGTTTTGTTCAATATCTTTATTAATGACCTGGATGAAAGGATGGATTGCACCCTCAGCAAGTTTGCAGATGACACTAAGCTAGGGGGAGAGGTAGCTACGCTTGAGGGCAGAGATAGGGTCCAGAGTGACTTAGACAAATTGGAGGATTGGGCCACAAGAAATCTGATGAGGTTCAACAAGGACAAGTGCAGAGTCCTGCACTTGGGACAGAAGAATCCCAAGCATTGTTACAGGCTGGGGACCAACCACTTAAGTAGTAGTTCTGCAGAAAAGGACTTGGGGGTTACAGTGGATGAGAAGCTAGATATGAGTCAACAGTGTGCCCTTGTAGCTAAGAAGGCTAATGGCATATTAGGTTGCATTAAGAGGAGCATTGCCAGCAGACCCAGAGATGTCATTATTCCCCTTTATTCGCCTGGTTAGATGCGATAAATCGATCACCAAACACTTTCTCATTGACACCATCAGGATGAGAAGAGTCGCCAGCGCCAATGGGTGAGCAGCCGCACCCAAGATGCCACAGTAAGTATGTCAGCTTCAGCTACGCTGATTAGATCAAAGGGCAGGGGTTAATGGAGGCTAGACCGATCCTTTTAGGCTTCTGATGTGATAATAAAGCTAAGTCCCTCCCTCCCCCATTTTTCTTTAAGATGGAAATTGAGAGGGCAATGCAAAGTATTAAGTCACCTATGAGTAATTCCTACAAAGTGACTTTTGTTTCCATATTTCTTAACATGTTCTGCTAGAGACGAGGACATTGAAACAGATCAGTTACCCCCTAGCTTTGCATGAATCCTTGTGCGTTGCCACCAGAGGTGAAATTAACCCCTTGCGCCCCGGTGCTTGACTCCAGCAAGAAGCCAGATGGCTGGGGCACTTGGCTGCAGTGGGAGGGGTGGGGTGCCCCCCACTTCCAGCTTCCTTCAGGCTGCCATGATCAGCAGCAGGCAGCCAGGTAGGCTAGAGGAGTAAGCTGCTCCCCCACCCCCAGCCTGGACTGTGCCATCCCCGAGTCCTATCCCCTATCACCATTTGGGAGTGGGGGGCTGCAGTTGCACTCACGCCATTACTGTGTGTTTTATTTTCCTGTTTTCTTTGACTAGGGAGCAACAGGAAAGTGCACTACCTGCTGCATTCCTCTCGCTCCTGGCTGCCCAGGGGACGGGCAGAGAAGGTACGCAGCAGGCTCTGCACTTTCCCCTCACTCCCTAGTCACAGCAAAAAGGGAAAAACACAGCTATGGGGAAGTGTGGCTGCAGTGCCCCCCCCCAAAATGGCACTCTTGGCCCCCCTGCACTCACCCAGTCCCCTGCCCTGAGCCCCTCCTCATCCCCGTCCTGTCCTGAGCCCCTCAAAAACTCCAAACTTGATCCAGCAACCCTGTCCCCAGCCCTCTGCCCTAACTCCTGGACCACCACAACCCACCAACCTCTGCCTGGTTCCCACCCACCACTCCACCCGTACTTTAATTTCTTACAAGTATTGTTTTATCACCAACCCCCCTCCCTCCCAAAGGTCCCTCCCAAGGGAGGTGTGTCGTGATAGGACAGCACCTGTAAGAAATTTAAGTTACTTTCACCCTTGATTGCTGCTGAAAGAAGAGAGACAGTAGTAGCTGATATTTGTTACACATGTAATCAAAGGTAGCCTGTCTATCATCTTAAATTATATCTTTAACTTCCATTCATCTTTTTTCTATCAAATTTTCTTACGCATGGGGTTGGCCTTGATCCTGAAGCATGGGTTATCCCATAGTAGTACAAGCAGAGCATTAGTACGATCAGATGCTGTAAACATGTTGCAGGATGCTGCATGCAGACGCAAAGCCTGGATATTTCCTTAAGGGTACAAGTAGTTTCTGAGATATAAAAGAAAGGGAACCAAATGGCATAGCTAAGCTTTTTTGGTTTCAAACCAGGCCAGTGTGTATAAAGAGCACCAGGAGTCAAACCACCTTACAACAGGCCGCTTTTGGGACACTAGATAATAGACACACAAATCACGCACCCCCATACCTCTAGTTGCCCAGGGTTTTTTAAGGGTCTTTTGTGACACGGGAGGCTGGTTTTTATCTGATGTAAATTGCATGATAAGCCTATTTGAGCAAAAAAGCAAGGGAGAGACATTAAAAGGCAATAGGCTAATGATATAAAATCAGTCTTGGGCAGGTATTTATTTTGGCTTTTTCTAATCTCCCCAAAAAGGCTAGAGGAAGGAGCCAGCACCTCTCTACATGCTTGGAAATGTCTTTCAATGTGTAGTCTCTATTTATAGAAACAATGTTGAGAGGTTTAGGGCAAATCTTCACACCTAAGTTCTTTCCTTGTCTACTTAACATGGAATATGCTAAAAGTGAGAAATATCTGATTTTCTGGATGTGTCCATTGCTTGTGATTAATTCCAGTTAATGCAAAACCCAGAAACCTTTCCAAAAGTATCAGCTACATTCAATAATAATGGGACTGATTAGGATGGGTTCTTCATTGCTGGACTCGATGACCTCTCGCGGTCCCTTCCAGTCCTATTATTCTATGATTCAGTAGCACAAAATGCTATTAAATTGCTTTTGTTCTCTTTCCTGTTTATAGTCACACCTTCAATGGCTGAGTGCTGACAAATATGCATTCCCAGCAGTTCAAGAGAAGTAGGGCTGAGAGCGATAGCCCCATTATGTCTCTTTTTCTAGTTTAAAGACTGGAGAAATAATTCTACTAGTTGATAGTGAAGGAAGGAGCGAGTTGTACAATACACTAATGCAATTCAGGAATATTGGTTCAAATCCAATTTTATTTTGTTTTTATTTTAGGACAGCCATTAAGTAAGGCCATTCAACCCTATCAAAGGCTTTCTCTGCACCTAGGAGGGAACATCTGACATCTGTGTTTGCTGGATCAAGTGAGTGATTTTTTTCATATTATTAGCAGCCAATCTTCCAGTAAAGAAACCAATCTGATCTGCATGTATAATTGATGGAGGGTGGTGTTTAGTCATGTTGCTAAAATTTTTGCAATTATTTTGCAATCTAGGTTTAACAGACATATGGGTTGGAAGTAGTCACAGTGCTGGCCATCTTTGTTCTTTGATATTAAAGGAATTAAAGCAGTTTTCATGTCATGAGACAGCATTCTTTTTTGGGGTGTTTCCGTGAAGACGTTTGAAAGAAAAGAAGACGGCTGATTACAAAATGTTTTGTAGGAATTTGCCAGAAAATTATCCATCCTGGGGCTTTGCTAGAATTCATTTTTTTATAACCTGTTTCATCTGTCTTGAGAAAGCTTCATCCATAAAAAAACCCACTTGTTCTGAAGTTAGGATATTAAAAGGTAGGCCCTCAATGAAATGATCAAATCTATTAGAGTCAAATGGGTTGTCTGATCTGTATAAAGCTTGATATAATTGTTTACATTATTTGTATCCATTGGCTCAACACTGGTACTCCTGTCTTCCTGTAATATGGAAGAAATTTTGTTGTTGTCTGGTTCCATCGTAAGTCTCCTGACAAGAAATTTGCCTGCTTTTATCTCACCGTTCACAATAGCTTTGTTTGACACTGGTGAGTGTAAATTTGATTTGGCTGGATAAGCACTAGATTAGATAGAGATAGAGAAAGATAGAGATTTGACTTTGACTTGCAGAGAACACACGCAATGCTGACCCAAATAATGAAAACGTGCTGTATAATCAATCTATTTCTTTGGCCAGAGAGTCTAGTAACTGGAGTCTCTTCTTTTGGGAGGCACACTTTATACATTCACCCTTTACAGTAGGTTTCAGAGCTTCCCAAAAGATGGTATCTGAGGATTGAGTGTTTATTTTGCTGTATGAAATTAGAGATCAGTCTGTCTGAACCAACGGTGGAACAACAGTTTGCATCCTTTACGAGCAGTGTTCAACTGCCGCTTAGAAGATTTTAATGATGTGTAGCCAATGTCTGTGATAAGTATAATTGGAGAAGGATCTGGAACCATCAATAGTTGCTTCTAGGCAAGCTGGAATCAGGTCTGAACAAACAAGAAAAAATCAATTCAGTAGTACGATGAATGCACTTTGGGGAAATATGTATAATCTCGCTCCTTCAGGTGTCTCAGTCCTCAGATATGTTTTAAATCAAGTTAATTCACTAATAATGGGGGATGGCTTATTGGGTTTTGAGATCTGGATCTCATGTAATTGGATTTGTTCAAATGTCTGTGTAGCGCTGCATTCCAAATCCTTGCCAATACTACAGGCAGTGTTCCCCATAAATTGCGCATTGGTGCGGCCACTCAGGAGATTCCAGTGCCGCCCAGCTGATTAGCAGAGTACCCACAGCTAGGTTGTGTTTCTAGTGGTGGTGCACATTTGCACATGCCTCCGTGCACATAAAATTATTCTGCACATGGATGGGAACGATTAGAGGGAACGATTGCAGGAATGTCTTTCTGCTGAAACTGTCCAGATTAAGATGCCAAATAGTGCCTAGCAGAGGCTGTGGCTGTGACCACATGTCGGTGGGGAACTGGTTGCAGCACCTCCCACCTCATTTCACGTAGCTCAACACACAGCCATCAAGCAGCAAGAGCAGGAGTGACCAACCTGTGGCTTGCGAGCTGCATGCAGCTCTTCAATGCAGAAAGTGCGGATTGTGAAGTGTATCCTGTGGCCTGCAAAGCCGCCCCTGCACCCCTACAAAGGGCCCCCAGTTACCTGGGCTCACTTGGTGTAGGGGAGCCATCTGGCGAGGCAAAGCAAGATGGCGCCAGCCAACAGGAGCCTGATGTGGCCAAAAATCCAAACCGGAGTTTTCATTTAAAGGGGAAGCATCCTTTTTCCTTTTGGGGGGGGGGGGGGCGCCTCGACTGAACACAGCTGGGCCTTTTTCTTTTTTTTCCTCGACCAAACTTTTTTCCCTCAGCTCTTTGCGCTATGTCCACCACTATTTTGACTCTTTACCTGGAACGGGTTGACCACCCCTAGGCAAGAGCTTTCATCATTACCAACCCAGGATGGATTGTAATTGGTAAACTAGAAAGGAAGGTGCAATCCAAAACCCGAGGAAGTGAACTGAGAGATTTCCTCCTGACTTCAGTGGGCTTTGGTCAGGCCCTGTGTCCTGTTAGCAAGTTCTCCACATTCAGAGCTCACTGGATTTAAAGCCCAGAAAGGCCCACTAGGGTTGTCTGTTCTGATCTCTTGCACAGTACAGGCCACAGAATGTCCCTTTCAGAGTGTATTGTCCTTTTCATGCCAGAGCCTGACTTCAAGTGGGCTGTTGGCCGTTATACCAATATGCAGAAAACATGCCCTAAGTCATTCTCTATACATTCGTCTAAGATACAGCTCTATGCTGAACAACCCTGTTCCCTTCATCTCTCTTTGCCCCTTAGCTGCTGTTTTAGTCTCCTGCCTTGTGAGTCAAAGGTGACGTGTGGCATTAGGGAACCTCCCAGCATCGCAGTTTGGTTTGTCCTGAGCATGCTCGCATGAACTGAACATGCTCAGTAATATCTCCTGAAGCCACTGCCCTCACACTATCTCCTCCTCCCCCATTATTGGCAGGTATGAGTTGTCTCTGCTGTGATCACTCAAGGCCTTGATTCTGCAAACATTTAACACAAGTGCTTTTGTCTTATTCCCATGAAAAATCCCCTTGAAGTCAAGGAGAGCATTCATGTGCATAAATTTAAGTGCATGCATGAACATTTGCAGAGCCAGGGCCTGACATTATAGGCTCTTCAGGACTACTAGATTATTCATGCTGGGATCTCTCTGTTTTAAAAAATGTATTATGTGCTGCAACCTAATGTTCGCATCAGATGGCCACGTGAGCTGTATCAAGTGCTTGGGCGAGGGTCACATCCCTCAGAAATGCCCACACTGTTCCAAGCTAACAGTGCAGGCCAGGCGGGATCACGAAATGTGGCTGAAAATGCTGCTTTTCAACAAGGCCCTACAGCCTACCAACACCGAATCTTCCAGATCCCCGAGGTCTCTGGAGTGGAGTAAACTCCGCCCCGCCCCGAACACTCCCAAGAAAAAGACATCCTCACCCCGCTACTCATCATCAAAGCAGATAAGAGTGGGGGATAAGCCAGGAACGTCGGAAAAAGCCCTCAGCCATCATGCTAAGAGGCATAAGATATGCCTCAACACATCGGTGCTGAGTCCAGCTTTTCCAAGGGAACCAGCACTGGTGACCTCCATGGTGCCTAGAGCAGCCTCAGCCCCAGCATCAGTGCTGGGAAAACAAGCGGCAACAATGGCACTGCCTAAGGCGGCACCACGGGAATCGGCACTGCACATGAGATCGGCACCAAGCCCAATGGTACGGGGCTCACCCACTGCCTCAGCAGCACCACCAATAACGGCACCTGCATGGACAGTGCTGCCGGCATCAGTAGAGGACATGCCACCATATCACCGACAATCCTCCTTGGCACCGGAAAAAGCTAGGCAGAAGTCTAGGAGACTGGTTACTCCCTCTCCTAGCCCAGAACTGGCTTGTTTCTCCCCAGAGCCACCTTCTGGGGATAGAACAGGAAGCAATGGACTTGGACTGCAGCGGGGGAGGTTTGGGTTGGACATTGGGAGGGGGTTCCTGGCTGTCGGGGTGGTCAGACGCTGGAGTGGATTGCCCGGGGAGGTTGTGGAGTCTCCATCTGTGGAGATGTTTAGGAGTAGGTTGGATAGATGTCTCTCAGGGATGGTCTAGACAGTATTTGGTCCTGCCATGAGGGCAGGGGACTGGACTCGATGCCCTCTCAAGGTCCCTTCCAGTCCTAGTATTCTATGATTCTATGATTCTATGATTAATAAGAAATGTTTGCTTGTGCCAGGGCCCTACCAAATTCACAGTCCATTCTGGTCATTTTCACCATCTGAGAATTTTTAAAATAATAAATTACATTATTTCAGCTACTTAAATCTGGAATGTCATGGCATTGTAATTGTAGGGGGTCCAGATGCTAGAGGAAGTTTTCAGGGAGCCACAAGGTTACTGCAGGGGGAACTGCAGTCTAGCATCCTTGTTTCAGTGCTGCCTTCAGAGCTTAGCAGCTGGAGAGCGGTGGCTGCTGGTTAGGAGCCCAGCTCTGAAGGCAGCACCACCAGCAGCAGCAGCACAGAAATAAAAATGCCCTGATACGGCATTGCCGCCTTTTCTTCCATGCAGCTGCTGCAGAGCTGTGCCCTGTCAGAAGCTGCCACTTTCCGGCTGCCCAGCTCTGAAGACAGCACAAAAGTAAGGCTATGTCTACACTGCCAGGTTTTTCGGCAGAAGATACGCAAATCACACTCTCATTTGCATATCTTCTGCCGATCCTGTTTGCGGAAGAGGTTTTGCCACTAAAAAGCCCCATCTTCTGAAAAAAACCAGCATTGTAGACATAGCCTAAGAGAAGCAATTTCATGAGCCTTTTAAAATAACCTTGTGACCTCCCTTGAAATTCCTTTTTGGGTCAAGACTCCCAAGCTGAGAATCTTTGGTCTCCCCCATAAATCAGTACAGTCGGGTAAAAGCACACAAAGGGCCAGATTTCATGATCCATGATGAATTTTTCATGGCTGTAAGTTTAGTAGGGCCCCATTAATATAGGTAAGCACCCTATACCTCTGTGAGTTATACAAATATACAACCAAACCCTGACCTTCCTTTAAGTTCGGAGAAGAGGAAGCTGCATACCAAATTTGATGGTCCTAGCTTTTACCATTTAGAAGGAGTTCGTGAACAAATGGACTTGCAGACAGACAGATGGACAGACTCTTAGACAGATGTACTCTAGGATGGATGTAGCTGACTCAGAGATGGGGTTATTATGATCATCTTGTAGAACGCAGGCTGAAGAACTCACAAGAATAATTTCTGTTTGAACTAGAGACAATCTTTTAGAAACACACCCAGTCTTGCTGAAACAAAAGACAGGACTATGCAGCACTTTAAAGACTAACAAGATGGTTTATTAGGTGATGAGCTTTCATGGGCCAGACCCACTTCCTCAGATCAAATTGTGGAAGAAAATTGGCACAACCATATATACCAAAGGGGTACAATCAAAATCCAATCTTGGACTGACAAGTGGCCAGTGATGGCGAATCTACCATGAGCCTTGACAAATCATTCCAATGAGCCAATTACCCTCACTGTTAAATATGTGCACCCTATTTCCATTCTGAATTTGCCCAGCTTCAACTTCCAGTCACTGCATCTTTTCATACTTTTTCCTGCTAGTTTGAAGAACCTATTACCAAATATTTGTTCACCATGTAAGCACTTAAAGGCAGAAATCAAGTGACATCCCCCCACCGCAAACTTCAACCTTCTTTTTGTTAGACTGAAGGAGCTCAGTCTATTTCGTTTATCCGTACAAGGCATGTTTTTCCAATCAATCCCATGGCTTTTCTCTGAACCCTTTATCAACATCCTTCTTCAACACCAGAACTGGACACAGTTGAGAGATCGCATGCAAGGGGAAAAAATTAAGCAAGTGACACACTTGTGGCACATCCGGATAAGTTGCCTTTATCCATTCTCATACATAAACAGTTTTAAAATACTCACTGCTAAATGTGGCTTATATTAATATACAGTGAGTTGCGTATACAGGTTCAAGCTGCTTTTTGGATTCAGGATCATTTCTTTGTTTGGATAAATTTCTTCCATTATTACCTTCTGCGTTACCCCACATGGATTACTGAAGGTGAAAAATTGCTCATAGTAACTGAACAGTAGCACTGAATCAACGTTGTGTAAAACCAGCACTTAACAGATTGTGGTCTATTACATGGGTTCCCAGTAAAAAGCCACATATTGTCAACAGCAGTAGCCAGAAGGTTTATAAATAGAGCCAAAGGAGAATATGGATTATTAGCTCCTCCACTCAAATTTATTTCAGAAGCTTAACAAACGGTCAGGATGTGCATTAGCGCTAGTATGACATTTCGCCACGGCTCCCGCACTAATGGACATGGTTCAGAAAGAAGTGACGGACACCAGTCACCCAGCAGATGTTTTCAAAATCCCGTGTTACTAATGGAGCAGTGATAGAATGATGCTTAAGCCATTTTAATCAACTGTGTTTCACTTGTAAGCCTGTTGACCAATCTCCCAGTAGCTATCGGGGGAGTTCTCCGACCACTCAACACATGGAAAAATTCAAACCATTACACTGAGCCATTCTATGAGAGTCAACAGACCCCCTTCTGCACATGCTTCCATCCTCTTGCAGTACATGCCATCTCTGGGCCAAATGGTGTGCATGCACAGGCCCTGCTAAAGTCAATGAGAGCTGTAAGAATGGGTGAGCCTTAGTAAACTGCTTTGTTTTAATCCCAGAAGTATAGTTGTGTGTGTGCACATGCATGTGTATATACATTTAGACATGCATTTACTGTTAGAAATCTATATCTCATACATTAAAACCGAGTAGTCTAGAAGCACCTTAGAGACTAACAAAAATATATAGGATCACCCAATTACAGAGAGAGACTGCAGAACTGGAAGTCATCTATAAATCTGATGCTGTTACCTTGGGCTTGAATAAAGATATTAACTGGTTAACGCACTACAAAGCCAATTTCCCCTGCCATTAACAATCACATTTTCACATCAAAAGCTATAACTGGAAATCATCCAGCCCACTTAATCAGCTTCATTAACACAGATCCTACAATTGACAGGTACATTTTTGCTGTTATATATACCCTGGATTCTGTTAATTCCATGCCAACTCATCTTATGAAATGCGTTTTACCCATGAAAGCTCATAGTCCTATATATTTTTGTTAGTCTCAAAGGACATGTCTACACTAGGAAACTATTTGGAAATAATGAAAATCGATTTAATAACTCCCAAAATAACAAAATTGAAGTATTGTGCCCTCACTACGGGGAAGCCTCGAAATTAGTTTGAGGGAGACTCCATTAATATGAACACGCTACCTCCACTTAGCACCCCAGGAAGCACTGGGGAGTAATAAGTGTGAATTACTCTGGGGAGTAGTAATTTCGAAATAGCGGCACCAGAGCATCCAAACTACCGCTATTTCAAAATAACTATTTCAAAATTAGTGTTATTCGAAAAAGTTATTTCGAAATAGCGGTAGGAGGAAAGCAGGAGTACAGATTTCAAAATAAACGGCCCGTTATTTCGAAATAACGGGCTCGGTAGTGTGGACACTTCTTAAGGTGCCATGGGACTACTTGTTTTTAAAGTTACAGTCTAACATGACTACTCCTCTGAGACTTTTTATGCTGCAGTGCGTACATTTAATCTGTAGAGCTTTTTCTGCCCTATAAGAAAGAGTCCAGAGCCTCTCATAACTCTTTGAAGAATACTGCTTTTAGTTAAAATGAGAAAAAAAGGCTTTGGCTCCAGTTAGAGTCTATGGTGAACTAATACAGGGAAGAATAACAATCATAATAATACAGGGGATGTACAGTCCATTAACAGCTCTGTGTAGAATACTATGTAGGATTAGCTGTGGCACTGAAATTGGCATGGAATTCAATGTCTTCTTTCCTTCTAATGTATTAGCAGTTCAGGCCCTCCTGTGCTTGCTTTCCTGTTTGATAGATTTTGGAGTAGCTCTTATTGTAACTGTACCAACACACCCTTCATGCATAACCCTATGATGGGCTGTGATATTACTTGACTGTGTGGCATGTTTTCACTTCCTATTGACTGGCTGTGTACTTCCCTTGTGTTAATCCCTTGTTAATGGACACTTTCTTTGAGCCAGCTGAGATCTGAGTTATGTTGGCTTTGTGGTTCTGGCAGATTTTATTACTTTGATATCTTTGTTTTCATTATTTTGAGATGTGGGGATTTTGTTTGTTTCATTTAGATTGATTCTCTCGGTTAGAGACGGGCTAGCCTCCCACTGTTTGTGTTTATATTTGATCTAGGAACAGTAGGAGGGAATCCTCTGGCTGCAAATATTTCAGTTCTACATTTCATCTGGGAAAGCCGGAATAAGAGACATCACCAACTGCTTTTGCCACTGCAAATAGATGGAGGTTACTTTAAATATTAGACAGCTCCATGCCATTTAAGCAGCGTCTTAATTTTGGGTATCCAAGTTGGTATGGCCACCAAACAAAGCTACTCTCCAAGAGGCTAATCCTATCTGTGATCAGGTTAGAACCGATACCATTTCCTCTTCAGAGTATTTGCAGGTCAAATTATTTTAAATGAAAAAAAAAGTTGTCCAAAAGTCAATGAAAAGGGGGATATTTTCTTTTTCATAACTTACGGGAGAATTTCTAGTTTGGACTCTCTCAGTAACGTGATTGTTTTTCCATTTGCAACATCCACCTTTCATTTTTACCAAATAATTTCTAACTGTTACCAAAAACAACGGAATAATTCCCCATCTCCCTAGGTTCCAACTTCCATTTTGGGTTTGGAAGGCTGCTTGTGGTTGATTGTTCGTACGACAATTTATAAAATGGCTGCAGACTTACTGAAGTAACCGACATGGCAACACCATGATTTGGAAACACATCAGGGCAGACTGATATGCTCCCTGAACCAATATTTTCCATTCTGCCAGGTGGAAGTTTATATTACCTGGCCTAGAACTAAATTGCATCTGCTGGTACCATCTAGTGGTGAAAACTAGGCATGATAGCAGCTGGCTACATACAAGGATCTTGTAAAATAATGGGCCAGGAAGCCTGGAGTATAAGCTTGCCAACCTCAGAAGAGTTACTGATCTGCTCCACTGAAGATCTGGCCCGTTGTACTGAGGTCTATATGTTTACCATCCATTCTGGCTAAGTGAAAGAAGAATGAACATATCGATAAAACACCTGGTGCAAGGAGAAAATTCTGCTTCCCTGACTCACAGAAGTGCTGAGTGGCTGGAGTAATTGATCATGGCCAGGCTAGCTGAAATTCAGAGATGGAAGGTATTTGCTATTGTAGATAGCAGGTCAGATTCTGTGCTGTACTCAGTTACTGCAGTGAAGGGGAATTCAGGTGAGAGTTAGGCTTCCTTTATTCTCTGCTCCAATCATGGCACTGGTGGAAATTAGGCAGGCTGGCTCACTTATGGGGCAGGGCAAAGGGGATAATTGCCCCAGGGCCTGATGTTTAAAAAGGCCCGTGAGGGCTGCGGGGCACACCGCAATCTTTCCAGAGCTGAGGCCAGGCTGCCTGAGGCCCCGCCTCTTCTGCCTAAAGCCACGCCCCTTCCGGGCGTGCAAAGCCAGACCCCCATACACACCTTGCCCAGGGGTCCAATGAGGCTGTCAGATCCCTGTAGGAAGGCGTGGAGGGACTCGATTTTAATTGAAAAATGTCACTTTTACCATACACAAACAAGTCAATTCAAAATATTTCCACTGATAATCATCAACAGGTACAGATGACAGAGGCCACAAGAAAAATGCTGCTTGAGAACATAGTGTTTGATTTCAGGGTATGTCCTTTGTATCTGCTGGCATGGGGTCTTCACAATTTCCGGGTTAGAAATCTCTAAACTTTTTGAATCTTAGTGTCTATCATTGAATAATTACTGTCTGCCCTTTCCCTTGTCTCACCGCCTCCATAATTTCCTGCAACTATGAAAAGGTGCAAAGATATAAAAATGCTTAAAAACCAAATCATCAATAGCTGTCAACACGATTTACATTTTTAAAAAAATAATCAAATTCTGCCCAGCCTAAGGGGATGTGAGCAAGGGATCTGGATTGCAGGTCACAGGCCCAGACTGGGGCTCCTCCTGCAGGTTCAGAAAAACCAAGCCTGAATGAAGAATGTGCTTGTCTAGTCTTGTGTATCTTCCAGGGAGGCTGGATTTCTGCCTTGAAGCTGCTACAGTTCCTCTTCTGGGAGAGGGTTTTACTTATGGGTTGCATCTAGACTGGCAAGATTTTGCACAAAAGCAAGCGCTTTTGCGCAAAATCTTGCCACCTGTCTACACTGGCCGCGAGTATTTGCGCAAGAACACTGACTTTGTACTGTACAAAATCAGTGGTTCTTGCACAAATACTTTGACGCTCCCGCTCAGGGATAAGCCCTCTTGTGCAAGCATTCTTGCGCAAGAGGGCCAGTGTAGACAGGCAAGTTAATTTCTTGCGCAAGAAAGCCTGATGGCTAAAATGGCCATCGGAGCTTTCTTGCGCAAGAGAGCATCTACACTGGCACGGATGCTTTTGTACAAAAGCACATCTCTTGCGCAAAAGCACATGCCAATGTAGACACTCTCTTGAGCAAATACTTTAACGCAAAAACTCTTGCGTTAAAAGTATTTGCATAAAATCTTGCCAATGTAGATGTAGCCTGATTGTTTACTGCTATTACCAATTTCTGCATGTTTGCCTCCTACTAATGTTGGGGTGTCTTTATCCTATAGCTTTAGAGGGATAGCCTGACATATTTGCCACAGATCCCTAAATGGCTGCCTCCAGAATTGAATTCACAACCCTGAATTTAGCAGGCCAATGCTCAAACCACCAAGCTATCCCTCCCCCCAGTAAGATCCCTAAATGGCTGCTTCTAGAATTGAACTCACAACCCTGAATTTGGCAGGCCAATGCTCAAACCACCAAGCTATCCCTCCCCCCAGTTAGTCTGTAAGTGGAAAACCACCTGAAGAAGTGGGTTGTGTCCACATAAGCTCATGATACCATCTACATGTTTTGTTAGTCTTTATGGTGCTTCTAGACTATTAGTTGTTTTTTAAGTTTATCCTATAGATTAGTACATTAATGATCTCAATTTATTATCAGTTGTCAACGTGTAGCCCAGGCAAGTTATGGATCCGCGGATGTTCCTATCCTAAAATAACCAAAACCTGCTATCTTCCCATTGTGAAGAAGCTAGATGGAGAGTCCTACAAGGGAGCCACTCTGTTTAGGTGACACATCTGAGGAACTGTCCAGATTGAAGTTTCAGAGGAAGAAGTTGTGTCAACAAGGGCCTGAAGGACCATTGAAAAGTATCCCTTCCGGTTAATGTATTCAGATGCCCAGTGATCGGGGGCCCAGATGGGGATATGGGTGCCATCAATAGCCCCCCCCCACACACACACAGTTGGGGAAGCCCATGGCAGAGCTGGCGATGCTGGGGTCCATATTGCTCAGGTTGGTGACCCTGCGCAGCAGGATGGTGCTGATGGCCCTCACCAGCTTTAGAGGGAGACAAACAGAGAGCCACAGCGTTGCCAGGGGCCTCAGGAGGCCCCCGAGCCCAACCCGCCCTTCCCCCCCACACACACACCAGGAGCAACCCCGAGACTTGCCACATCCTCTGTCAGGGCTTTGTGAAGGCGGGACTGAAAATCTTCCTGGGAAGGGGGCTTCCACCACTCCCACCGCCACCCCCTTCCCTAGAGAACCCCTCTCCGCCTGTTTAGTTCACCACCCTCCTGGGACAATAGCCCGAGAGGGCCATACCTGCATGACCACGGTCCTGATGGTCAGTCTCCCCACACCAAACTGGTTCCTGATGGATCGGTAGCTCTCTGGCACCTGCATGACCACGATCCCGATGGTCAGTCTCCCCACACCAAACTGGTTCCTGATGGATCGGTAGCTCTCTGGCGTGGAGAGCTTCCACAAAGTGATGGCAACCCGCTTCTCGAGGGGGATGGCAGGTCTCATATGGGTGTCTCATTGCTGGAGGGCAGGGGCAAGCCACTCACAAAGCTTCAGGAAAGTGTCCTCCACATATGGAAATTCTGGAGCCACTGCTGGTCATTCCACCACTCCAGGATGTCCTGGTCCCACCAGTTGGAGCTGGTCTCCAGTCGCCAGAAGCGGCAGTACACAGTGTGCAGGACAGGGTGAGTGGGGTGGAGCTGCATGAGCAGTGCCCAAAAAGAGGTGAGTAATTGCCCCATGAGGAGCTGGGGGTCCTGTTCCTGCAGGGCCAGGAAGGCAGCTTGCAGAAACTGCAGCAGGAGGTGCACCAAGACATACAAGAGCCGTCGACTGCTGGGAGGCAGGTCAAGCTCCATGGCTGGAGTGCTAAGGTGTCCACAAGGGCAACCACAGCAGGCAAAGAAAAGGCTTTGCTGTCCCTCAGTTAGGTAGGTAAAGGAGAAGCGCCTGAGACACTGCTGTACAGGGCCTCACATAGCCTCAGGCAGCAGCTCCTGAAGTGCTTCCAGGTGGCCTAAATGTGATTCAGCATCCAATGAGTGTAGATACTCTAGTTCAAAATAGCTCAGCGCTATTCTGATGGGCATTTGTTGTGTAGATGGGCTATTTTGAAATAAGCCATTTTTGAGTTATTGCCTCTGAAATAGTAGACACAGTATAGACGTGCCCTCTAGAGCCTAGCAAACTTATAGGACAAAAACCACGTGTCACCCAGGAAACAGGCAGTAGGTTTAAAAACAAACAAATGAAGGGAAGTACTTTTTCACACAATGCACAATCCATCAGTGGAACTCGTTGCTAGGGAATGTTGTGAAGGCCAAAAGTATAAGTAGGTTCAAAAAAGAATTAGATACCTTGAGGGAGGCTAGGTTCATGGATGGCTGTTAGCCAAGACGTTCAGGGAGTCCGGAAGTCCCTGACTGCCAGATGCTGGGACCGGATGAATCACTTGATAATTGCTCTGTTCTGTTCGTTCCATTTGAAGCCCCTAACATTGGCTGCTATTGGAAGAGAGGATACTGGGATAGATGGACCAATGTCCTGACCCAATATGGCCATTCTTATGTTAATATTCCTGTGGTTACGTGGTAATATTTTACATAATCCCTGAAACCTAATATCCCAGTTCCCCAGTAACTCACGCATGCTAAGGCCTCTATGTCTTATGCTAACTGCTCAAGTCAATGCCTTGCAGGATGTAGGATCCTTGCATTATTGCTACATAAAATGCCATTTAGCTAGATGATGGCCGGATTCATTCCCTGATGTATATTGGCCTATCAACTTCAATGGGGCCAGCTGAGAATCTGGCCCTATCTCTTCCAGAGTCCTGCAATGCCCCAAGGCATACAAGCTAACTACTCTCAACACCAACTATGTTGGTTAAGTAGTGAGCACTTGATCTTTGCTATTTTTTGCTTTCATCATCCATGCCTCAAAATAGGGAAAAACAACATCAGAGATTGTTATGCTTAGTGA